TCATAATTTTAAATAAATATAAATGTAAATTAACAAATTATGCATCTTCTGTCTCAGTCATATTTTCCTCTATGTTCCTTCAAAGTTTAACAGAGAAGTGATGATAATTCATATGAGTGATGATTATTCATATTATCATAACAATCTACAGAATATAATGGTTGAGGCAGGTGATGTGTGTTATAATGATGATGCTGCAGTAATTAATGTCTTGGAATAATATATATTGAAAAGTTAGACAATTAGTTTGTCCTTTAACAAGTCCAATGTCATTATGGGTTGGAGAAGGGGGATAGCTGATAACTTTGTTATTTAWGAGAAGCTCTATTTGGTAAGGTTGTGCTTTGTGCAGGATCCCTCAGTTCAGTAAGCTGAGGATGTGGGACATAACATTACATTTTTATACTTTAGCAACAACCTTCATACAATTTAGATATATGTGTTTAACCCCTATTTAGTATTTAATACATTCCTTGAATGCTGAAAACATTAACAATTATGCAAAGGACTACAAATATTAATCTAACATACACAACAAAAAAAGCACTCAACAAACTCACTTAAAAAACTTTTTTACTTTTGGCTATCTTGTAGTATGTGCTCTACCTGCAATCACGGCACGCTTGTCATATGCACTCTACTACCTAATTTATCTTTACTATCGTGACTTAAATGCTAATAAAGATTATTACTATCTTTTACTGCATGATATAATTTTTGATTGTGTATTAGTCATTGACCGACAGTTCGTGGGTTTACACGGTTTTTATTTGGCATGTGTATTTGATTGGCACATTTGACGCGTTTCTGAGAGACATGGCACAAGTTTTTTAACTACCTATAATTATTATGTTTATTTTATTTAATTTTTCAAAAAGGACGAGACGATGACAAATGGTCTTATATAAATATTTTATAGCATTTTATACAATACATTATAATTTATAATTGTTCRCAACATTTGATATGGTATAACACTTGACTCATAGGTTAATTATTTATTTAATTTTACGTGTTATTTAATTTTTTTTTTTACTTCTTTTATTGACTATGGTTTATGTGTATATTATTATTTTTTACTTTATGATTTAATTAATATAATAATTTTATTTTTCAATCTCTAAATTGTAATCGTAATCCGTGCCGGCCTAGAAAATATAATTATCTTCAAAATTATCTAAAATGCGATGTTTGTCGGAATAAAATAAATCTAAAAATACGGTTTCCAAATTTTCCTATAGTTCGACTTATCTGTATATAAAAATAATACTTGTAACTATCACCTGTGTAAGTATGTTAATTGTTAATATGTATTAAAAATAATTATTACTTATATTACTTATTAGATTGGTAAAAACGGTAGAGGGCATACTKCAGTCGTAATGTTGCCAGTAGAGCGCATACGACAAGATAGCCTTACTTTCAATTAATTGTTACTCTTTTTTCTGAACTTCCGACAAATATAGTAGTAACTGCAACTCATTCTCATATTTTATAGAACGTATTTGGATGATTAGGATTGATGTTTCAATCAATTACATTGTAAATCCAGAAAAACACCAATTTAAAAAAAGAAAGAAGACCTATGAGATTGGAATTTGAAAGTCAAAAGCTATAATAAATTGAATGCTTCAGAAATTTATGGTAAGATTTAATTTTAATAGAAAGTTAAAACATCATAGTTTAATACAAATACATTTTAATAGTAAAGGAGCAACATTCTTTAACTAAGACTTCATGTTATATGGTTTTCAAATTCAACGTATCTTCGTATTATAGATATTTTAAGTTTATTTTTGATATAAAATAGATCTAAATTTATATTAAGTATGTATGAGAAATAAGTTGGATGGGGTTGAAATTTTTTTTATAAATCGTACAATTCATTTACTCTCTAATAAAGGAATTAGGTAGATTTAAATTTTAAATAGTATTAAATTAGATAAAACAAAACAATAAATGTACATTAATAATTTGATATTTGATTTTAATGTAAAATAAAAAAAAAATAGGAATTAATTACAAACTTTAATTAAAAATATTTATTTTTGGTTTGGCCTTCTACAAAATGGTTGAATTTATGAAAACATAGTTTTCAATTTCAATGAAAAAGTATAAACATAATAATCGGTTATTTCTGAATGTARTTAAATGTTCATAATAAGCCATGTATACTATGACATATAAATTACAAAATAAAAATAATAAAATAAATTAACTGTACATTGTATGGAAAATTTGATTTTTTAAATTAAATAATAATTAACTATTTTTGTTTCTGTTTGTTGGAAAATATAGGCAGTTTATTATTAATAAGTATGTATATAAAAAAAAGATTCAACTTAATGTGCAAGATAATTGATTAATTGAGACAGTTAACAGACAAATCATTGAATTATGGGGGACTAATAAATTACAAGTCTTCATCCTCGTCAGGCAATGCTGTTTCTTGAGCCTCCTAGAAATAATTTTAAAAAAGTAAGTGCTTGTTGCCAWAATAACATAATTTAATTTTTACCTTGAGGTCTTGTTCAATTTGATCTTGCCATTGAGGGTCCATCTTAATTTCTGGGGGTACAAGAGCAGGCATAGCAACAAATTCAAGGTTGGGATCGCCGATTAATTTTCTGGCCATCCACAGGAATGGTTTTTCGAAATTGTAATTACTCTTAGCACTAATATCGTAATACTATAAAAATAAAAGTTTTTAAATATTGTTTTCAATTTATATTTAATTTTCAAAATTAATTGCTTACCTGTAGATTCTTCTTGCGGTGGAAAACAATTGTTTTAGCTTTTACTTTTCTATCCTTGATATCCACTTTGTTTCCACAAAGCACAATCGGAATGCCTTCACATACTCTCACCAAATCTCGATGCCAATTGGGTACATTTTTGTAAGTGATACGGCTGGTAACATCAAACATGATGATAGCACATTGACCCTAAAAAACATTTAATTTGRAAACTTAGCATGATTTTAAAACTTTATAATATGAGATGTTTTTTATTTTTAATTAATGATATATGTAGTACTCAATACTATATGACAATCTATTTAAGTTTTATACATTAGATACATTATTGTAGTGAGGTAAAACTTTATAATATGAGATGTTTTTTATTTTTAATTAATGATATATGTAGTACTCAATACTATATGACAATCTATTTAAGTTTTATACATTAGATACATATTTATTTTTATTAATTTAATTCAAATTTAAACAGATTCAACTTAAAAGATGATAAAAAATTACATAATATCATATTTTACCTCACTACAATAATGTATTTGACTGTATAGGTATGTATAAATAAATACAAACCAAAAAATATCRAACTTTTTTAATTTGAGATAAACAGTTTCATACCTAGAAACTGTACAATGATTTGAATTATAGTAATTATAATTAAAATACCGGTTTTAAATAAAAAATATAATACTTCATGTATTATGATTAATTTTTTTTTTATATGAATATTATATATATACTGCAAGTTAAATTTGTTTGTACACTTATAAAGAAACATACAAATCATTTGTTTATTTTTTTAATTACCAATATACATAATTACTTGAATATAGTATCCATCTCTGAGACCTCCAAATTTCTCTTGGCCAGCAGTATCCCAAACATTGAATCGAATAACCCCACGAGTTGTATGGAATACCAATGGATGTACTTCTACTCCTAATGTGGCAACATATTTTTTTTCAAATTCACCCGTTAAATGACGCTTGACGAATGTTGTCTTGCCAGTACCTCCATCACCAACCAATACACATTTGAACGTAGGTACATCATCAGGTACATTCATTATTGCTTTTTTTCTATATAATATCAATATACATATTATGAAGTAAATAAAAACAAAAAGAAATATACATTTTTAATTTAGAAAAAGAATTGTTTTTTATTATTTATAAAATATAGATATATAGATAATTATTTGATGTGTTAAATTAGGAAAAGATATTTAAAAAAGTACTAGATATATTTTTTTTTGWATTTTCTGCATGCAATAAAATAACACTTATAATTGTGCATACATTAAAATAGTTAAAATTTCTTAAAAT